GCTGTTTATCTTGATTTGTCGACACAATTCAGGAATTAGCACAAGTAAATGCACAAAATCATTGAATCCAGTTAGCTGAGATTCGGACTTGACGCAGACTCGCGGTGATATAGTAAAATGCAAAGATTCGTGCTTCTTCCACTGTTCATATGGAGAACAAAGTTTGTAATAAGAAATGGTTTGACTGAATCTGAAATACATTTGAAAGTTTCCACAGTCTTGCGAAGCGATGAGTAGTGTGTATAAAAAAAAATGAATGTAAGTAGTCAGGTACTATTTAAAGTTTCCAGTATGTTTTGCTTGCAATTAAAAATCATACCCCTTCTTATGTGAAATTAAGAAAAATAACTTTTCTTTTCTTTTTTTCAAAATTTTGTTTGTCAGTACAAACTTCGATGATATCACGTTTTGTAGTGACCACGATACTACATAAGATAATATGTTAGGGATTTTGAGATGCTACGAAAAGGCCTTTAATTTATCATATATATCCCGAGCCAGTCAGAACTCCCGGTGGCACATGCCCCTGAATGCCGTACTACACACAGTGGAAGTTCTAAATATTTATAAGATAGAAACTGTTAAAACTTCGCTGATGTCACAGAGGGCCACTTTCACGACTATTTGCATCACAAAACGTCAACTATGTCATTTTAGTTCATTAAGGGTGCACCCACTTTCATGGGAAAATAATATAACTGAAATGAAACTTTGAAGATAGATACAATACCGTGTCTTTGTCACGGTACGTAAAGGAATATTCAAGGTCATTGGCACAAATACAGTAACGTGTACACAAAGATGAAAAGGAAAACAGTTACAGTATGAAATTAATATAAATCGTATTTATATTTATATTCATTTCTTACTGTGGCTAAGTCATCCTTTGTTTCTCTCGTGATTCGCATGACTACACTCTTACTATGAATAAACCTTAACTGATAATACATATTTAAAACAATCCGTTTTTTAAATAACTCCCATTAAATGAAACGAGTCACTTTGCTATTGAGTCTCGTCGACGGTCCCGCCTGAATTTTATCTTCTTGCAATTTTGCTGGAATACCGAATTTACCTTAGTGTCTTCAGAAGATCACTTCAGGGGAAGTAGAAAAAATAGAGGGGGGGGGATGAGTCGAAGAACATTTGGGAGACAGAACAGTGAAGAGATGTAACGAGAACAAGAGAACACAAACCACGATAACAACGCGACGGTAAAAGCGTACGTACACCTCCGAAGCAGCGATCGGATTGTTACGTTTTGACGAGATCGGCCGCGGTCTGAGGATTCCGAGCGTGGTGGCCTAACATTGTAGACTTGCACATATTGCCACATATACTACAAACTACGCTCGGATGAAAATAATCCTTGTATAGTGAGTACATAAGATCCGATTTCCCGCTGCGCCTCCTCCCAGTTTGAGTCTCTTGTTTATTTTAATGTTCTTACGATCTTATAATAATGACTGAGGAACATGAAAACAAATAATCTGAACCTCCCTTAGTCGTTATGAGTCCAAACTTTCTTTTAATGTGTTGTAGGTGAATTATATGAATAACTGTAACATGAAAATTAGTGTAGACTAGAACTGGTAGAAGTGAATTGCTGTAGCTATTCCTATTTAATTTACGAGTGCTATTTACTTCATCTCTTCATACAAACAAGGTTCCTCTATAAACGTGAACCTTTTCTATTTTGCTGCACAATATTGTTTTACAGCAGCAGCAGAAAGTTGTTGTTTCAGTTAGTATCAAATGAATATCATGGTTTGTTCAATTCATTACGTAAACCTACCATGGTTTGCCTTTTTATATTAGTATTTGACACAATTCTACGGAAATGGAACTCCGCGTTTCGATTACGTGTTGAAGTTTCGATGTCTGGTTCAGTGGGTCTATACACGCCATTCAGTGCGGAGGAGCACCGCTCGTGTTCTCCGACGTCTATTCAAGTCAAAAAAAAAAAAAAAAAAAAAAAAAAAAAAAAAAAACTCATTCAGTGTGTATGTGTGTGTGTGTGTTTACATATTAGCAGAAAAATTATAGCGGTATCTTGTTAACAGAGCCCTCCAAAATTCCTCAGCAGATAAATTTAGGAAATTCGCTGCTTCCTAGCCTATGCAGAGAACACTGGATCTCTTACGTTCATTTAGTCATCCACAACATTAGACTCCATCTGAATGTGTAAGCGCAACAGAGGAAATCTCCCTCCGGGCAAGAAGGACGGCTGGACACAGAGGATACCTAACCACGACCCAATTCCCCTCAGCCAATCAGGAGCCGGGAACAAACTCCTCAAGGAGGACCTAGCACTCTCCTGATCGCAGACTGGCAACTCGGCGGTGTCTCAAGAGACCCTCATTGACACGCGTACATATATATATGTACATATATATGTGTATGTGTGTGTGTATATATATATATATATATATATATATATATATATATATATATATATATATATATATATATATATATATATATATATATATATATATAT